GGGCGTTGTGGGGGGCAAGGCTGGGACGTCAGCAAACGGAACGAGCAACGACGAGAACATGCTCGAGAACCTTCTCATCCGCCTCCTCCCCCTCCTCCTCCTCCTCCTTCTCCTCCTTCTCCTCCTCCTCCTCCTCCTCCTCCTCCTCCTCCTCCTCCTCCTCCGACGACGACGACGACGACGATGACTTGCAGTCGACAGGCACGTTCTCGGTAAGCTCTGGGAATATGTCCTCGGCGTGGCAGCGATAATCACGTTCCCGAAGATTTTCCGGGAACGTTGCGGCTGCGTTGGGGCCCCCATGGAAGCCTCTTTAAGGCCCTGCGGGGTGTCGAAGCGGGGACCGTCTTGGGGTTCTTTAGCCGCCTGCTGGGCTCCTTTAAGGTGCCGAGGCTCATCAGGTGGGCCGTTTGGGGGCTTCTTCGGCCAGATTCGCCGCCTGTTGGCGGCCGCTTTGGGCGCCCTCTTGGCACGCTGTGGTGCAATCTGGGGGGCGTCCTAGCCAGTTCCGGAGCAGATGCCCGATGACTGGCGGCGACAGTCACGTTCCTGGGAAGCTCGCAGGGAACCTGATGGCTGTGGCCGTGTGGGAACCCTCGCGGGGGCCTCTGCAAGGCCGGCATATGAGGGGCACTTCGGGGCCCTGTGGACATTTTTTCAAAACCCTCCTGGCATGTCCAAGTCCACTCGGGGGGGCCACCTGGAGCCCCCTTGAACCATCTTCGGCGCGTCTTGGGCCGGTTTGGCGCCGTTTGGGGGCCGTCTCCGAGCGTCGGGCAGCGGAGCAGGCGACCACGCGGAAACCACTGAAACACCAATGGGAAATCACGGATGTGTGCCTCTTGGGAGTGTTTCGGAAAGCAGTTTGGAATCCTCTCGGGCCGTCTGGGACGCCTCGCGGGCCGCAGCGGAGCAATGGTGGGCGCGCCGGGGCCGTTTTTGGGGGCCCTGTGGGCCTCCATGGAAGCCGTTGTGGCGTGTCCAAGCCCACGTGGGGGGGCCACCTGGAACCCTCTTGGGAAGTGAATGGAGCGTCGGCGAGCGGAGCGAGCAACGACGGGAACATGCTTGAGAACCTTCTCTTCCTCCTCCTCCTCCTCCTCCTGCGACGACGACGACGACAACAACAATCATTATAAGACTGCTCGCTTTTACTTGCCCGTGTGTCATGCACATCGAGTTCCCCACACCCTCGATACCCGCCTTCTTGTTTGCGATCACACCCCGCTTGGGGGGATTAGTTCTCTTTGCGGGGGGCGTCGGGCTTAGACAGGCGGGCAAACCTGAACGGGCGGACAATCCTTCGTGGGCGTACACGTGCCCGCCATTGGAATTGGTGTGGGCCCTGCAATAAGAGGACGCGGAGAATGAGGAAGTGGGAGGAAGGGGGTGGCAGGGACGGAGGAAGAGGGAAAACGCATGGAGAGAAGGATCGAAGAAGGGGGCCGTTGATTAGAGGCAGAGAGAGACAAGAAAACATATAGATAAGAGAGGTAGAGAAAGAGAGAGAGAGAGAGAGAAGAGAGAGAGAGAGAGAACATAAAAAAGGGAGGGAGGAGGCAGGAAAGGGGAGGGAGAAGGGATGAGGGAGAGGAGGGAGAGGGGATAGGGCAGAGAGGCATACGGATGAGGGAAGAGAGGAGGGATAGAGAAGGGAGGAGAGGAGGAAGGAGGGAGAGGGAGGAGGAGCAGGAAGGTGAGAGCGTGAACGTTCGAGGAAGTCCTAAGCGAAAGCGCCGCTTCAGGAAGTCTCGGGCGGGAGCCCACGACGGGCGGGCGATCCCCTGACGGGCGGGTCGGGCGGGTGGGACATTCAAGAGGGATGCCTGAGTATGGCGAGATCGCGGTTCCTAAGTAAATTGTGACGGCGTCCTTGGCGCAGCATGTTCCTGAGGGTCGAAAGCGCGATGTTTGAATACATTGCATGGAAGTCACAAGCGAGAGCTCAATTCCGGAATAAAATGTGAGGGGTTCTCTGGCGGGAACGGGGGTCTTGATTAAATGGCGAAGAAGTCTTGATTCAATTCCAAGGAAGTCTCAAGCGGGAGCGCCGTTTCTGAGTAACCAAATTGTTAGGAAGTCTCAGATGGGAGTGGGGGTCCTGACTAAATCGCGAGGAAATCACAAGCGGGAGCGCCGATCCTGAGTAAATTGTGAGGAAGTGTCAGGCGGGAGGGGGGGTCCTAAATAAATTCGAAGGAAGTCTCAAGCGAGAGCCGTTGTTGTTGCTGTTGTTGTAATCCGGGGGGCCAGGGGCACAGTTTGAGCACAAATATTTTCCCTTTCAAAAAACAGGGTGCGAGCGTCGAGGGGCACACTTTGATTGAGAAAAAACAGCATGCACCGGTGAGGGGGGATCAACAATAATTATTGTTTAGAAATGAAAATTCGACGACGACGTGCGGCGACAATCAAGTTCCCAGAAAGCCCTCCAGGAACAGAATGGCCGCGGCCGTGGAACTTTTATTGGGACGTGGCGGCGACGATCACATTTCGGGAAAAAATTCAGGGAGCATGGTGGTTGCGGCCGTGTGGGGGGGCCGTATTGGGGTTCTGTGGCCGCCTGCTGGGCTCTTTTAACTGTCGGGCTCATCTGGGGGGCCGTCTTGGGGCCTCTTGAGCCACATTGGCCGCCTTTTTTCCCGCTTTCACACCCTCTTGGACTGCGTTGGTGCAATCTGGGAAGCGTCTTGGGCCGTGTTGGAGCGACAGAGGGGAAATACTCGATGACTGGCGGCGACCATCACGCTACCGGAAAGCTCTGCGGGAACCTGATGGTTGCGGCCGTGTGGGAGCCCTCGTGAAGGCCTTTGTAGGGCCCTGTCGAGGTGTCGAGGCTTATTCGGAGGGCCTTTCGGGGCTCCTCGGCCGCATTTAGAACACCGTTGGGGTGTCGAGGCTTGTTTTGGCGCCATCTTGTGCGCCTCTTGCGCCGTCTCCGAGCGCCGCGCAGTGGAGCAGGCGACCAGTGGAGAAACCTTGAAAATTCTTAGGGGACTCATTGATTTTTGCATTTTGGAGCCCCCTCGGGAAGCACTTAGGAGCCCTCTTGGGGTGTCTTGGATGCCTCGTGTGCAGCGCATGGATGCTTTGGTGGGCGTGCTTGGGCCGTTTAGGAGTCTTGCGGACCTCCTTCAAGGCACTCTTGGTGTGTCCACGCTGATTTAGGGGGCCACCTTGTGGACCATCTTTGGTGCCTCTTGGGCCAGTGTGGCGCCGTCTTGGGGCGTGTTGGGGCCCTCGTGGACGCCTCTTGTGCCGTCTCCGAGCGTCGGGAAGCGCAGCAAGCGACCACGCGAAAATCAATGAAGAACCAAGCGGAGCTCACTGATTTTTGCCTCTGGGGAGTGTTTCGGAAAGCAGTTTGGAGTCCTTTTGGACCGTCTTGGATGCCTCGTGGGACGCATCTTGTGGCGTGTCCAAGCTCAAGTGGGCGGCCACCTAGAGCCCTCTTGGGCGATTTTGCGTGCCTCTTGGGCCGTCTTGGCGCCCTCTTGGGGTGTCTTGGGGCCCTCATGGGGCCCTCCTGTGCCGTCTCTGGGCGTCGGGCAGCGGAGCGGCTCCTTGGAAAAGTGAACGGAAATTAATGGTTTTCGCCCCTGGGGCTTCTCTCGGGGATCAGCTTGAGGCTTGAGGCTGCCACGTGAGCCGTCTCGAAGTAATGGTCGGCATGCTGGAGGCGTTTTGGCGCTGTCTGGCCGCTTGGATAAACCTTTTTGGTGGGTTCAAGGCCCACTTGGAGACCTCTTGGCGGGTCCAGGCTCGTTCGGCCCCCCATGCCACACTGGGGCAGCGGGCCAGCCCCCCCGGGGCGCCACCGTGCTTGCGGCACGTTGATACACGGAAGAACGCCACAAGCTGCCTGGCAGGGTTTCTGTAGTCTTCCAAGGGCCCCCCACCCGCTCCGGTGGCACCCACCTGACTGCGTCGCCTTCGTTGCCGGGAGGTCCCTAGGCGGCTATGGCGCCTCCCAGGGGCTCTCCAGTGCTTCCACGACGGCCCAGGAAGCCCACCATGGCCGCCCAAGAGACCTCCGAGACAGGCCAAGAGCGCCCCAAGACGCCCAAGATGGCCCTAAGACGGCGCAAGAGGCACCCAAAAAACCCTAAGGGCGCTCCAAGAGGACCTCCACCTCCAAGAGGGCCCGAAGAGACAAAGTCATTGAATCAAATTGTGTTTTCATGTCTTTTACGTTATCGCCGTTGCGCCCCCAAGACCGCTCCAAGACGGCGCAAGAGGCCCCCAAGACAGCTCAAGAGAGTTCCACAATTGCCGAAAAGGCGCCCAAACGTGCCCCTGTGGCAGCACGAGACGGAGTCTCCCCAAGTCCTTTGCTCAATCAATTTTCACTCCTGAAGATTCGTCCAACGACGCACACCATTGCTTCCAACACCCAAAGGGGTCCCAATTAGCACGGCGCCGCTCCGCTAACTGGTTTCAAACCCTGCGTCCTGAGCTTGATTGGCCCCATGTAGCGAAGCGGGGTTGACCTCGAACAAAGAAATCTGCTTGATTTCTTCGAATTAGCAGAACGGCGCTCCGCTACTTGGCTCCACGCCGAAGATTTTCGTGTGTTTCGTCCTCATTAGCGGAGCGCGCTGTGCTAATGGGCGGCGACTCTCCAGTCCCCTACTCGGCTTACAATCCCACAACCCAGAGAACATCCTGGAGGCCTACGACCAACAATCCAGGCACGGTGGCGGGGTGGACCGAAGGCCACTAGATATGAATAGTAGCTAAAGGAGAAGGATGAGGAAGAAGAAGAACAAGGGGACAGGAAGGATGAGGAGGGGGGCGATAGGAGAAAAAAAAGAAAGGATGAAGAGGAACGGGGTCGGAGGAGGATAAAGACGGAGGAAACGGTGGAATGAGAGGAGGAGGAGGAGGAGGAGGAGGAAGATGAGGACGGAGGAGGATGAGGACGGAGGAAGCGGTGGAATGGGAGAAGGAAGAGGAAGAGAAGGAGGAGGAGGGAGGCAGGGCGTTGACGATGGAGGAACCTGGCTGCCAGCTGGTTGTCCAGCTCTCCGCCAACCGCGGCGGCACCCGCTGCGCCGCCGGGGCAGAGCGCCTGCGTGCTGGAGGGGCCCGCGCGGGGTGGGAGCCGTCCTCCCCTCCCTTCCTCTCGTTTTCCCTGCCCCTCCTCTCCTCCTCCTCCCCCTCCTCCTCCCCCTCCTCTTCCCCCTCCCCCTCCCCCTCCCCCTCCCCCTCCTCCTCCTCCTCCTCCTCCGCCTCCTCCTCCTTTCCTCCTCCTCCTCCTCCTCCTCCTCCTCCTCCTCCTCCTCCTCCTCCTCCTCCTCCTCCTCCCCCTCGTCCTCCTCCTCCCTCGCCTCCTCCCTCTCCCTTCCCAGCGCGCTCCCCGGGGGTTCCCGGCATCTCCCCGCGTGGCTTTTTCAGGCCCGCGAGGGCCTCCTGACGAGCGGGGCCCGCAAGACGGCCCAGGAGGGCCCCGAGTCGCCGAACGATCGGTCCACGACGACCAAGATGGCCCACAGATGGCCCAAGAGCAGGGTTGGATACGATAGGACGGCGCCGAACACCGCGCCCGCAGTGGAAGGGCCTGGCGCTGAGCACCCGAAAAGCAACAAATTGATGGGCGTCTCCATCAGGAGGTCTTGTTAGCACTGCACACAGGGGCGACAGCTCCCTGCAGGGCCCGCGACAGGAGCACCCCTTCAGTGGTTGAAGCGAAAGCGCAGTCAAACAGCTGCACGCGCTTCGCATGCCTTCTGCGTAGCCGCAAAATTTACAGTCATACATTGCAGTGCGCCCGATGCACAGCAAAGAAGCTCACGCACCGCCATGCACTGAGGGGATCCCCAGGGGAAAGCAAAGGAACCCCTGAAGGCGCAGTCCATCCCTCCGTTCCATTCCTGCCCATCGCTAGACGCGGGGGACCGGCCGCTATAGCCCCACGGGGCACTGAGAAAACGGCCACCTATGCAGCGGCGGCGCGAAAACGCCTGTACTTTTCGAAGGGCCCCTTGTTGCGACTCTGGGCTCATGCGCACAACCGCGTCCAGCGCCTCATCGTTCACATCAAAGATGATCTCACGCATTACGGCATGCAGCTCATAATGCACTTTTCCACCAGTGAATGGGAGCCCAGTGGCAGAAGGCAGGGGGCGACACGACGCGACGACGTAACGACGGACGACAGACGAACGACAAGCGCGCGGGGCGGGGGAGGGGAGGGAAGAGGGGGAGGGCCAAGGAGGCGCGCCAACCCGCGCGCAGACCAGCTGGCCTCAGCCCAAGCCGGCCGCGGCTGCGCGCAGCCCGGCGCCGCGCCCCGCGCGGCTAGCCTGCGGCGCCCAGCAGGGAGGGACGCCATTCTCCACCTTCGCTTTTCCCTTCGCTTTTGGGCAGCACGGGTCGCCACCCAGAGCAGTCTCACCAGGAAGAGCGCGAGGGCCTGCACCCGCAGCGCCACGGGGCTCGTGACCATCGGGAAGCTCAGGCTGCGACGTCGGCCGCCACTGGAGAGGCTCCGAGCATGCAGGCTGGCCCTCGTCGGCCTGCACCTCGAAGAGATCGTCCTTCTCGATCTCATGATTGGCAACGTCACCGAACTTGTCCTGGAGCGTCTCCTCCTGCAGTGCGTTGAAGATGGTGGGGCAGTTGAGGTCACCCTGCGCCTCAAGCTGCGCATTCTTGTGGCCGCCCTCCTCAGCACAGTTGCAAGCCACGTCAGGCGCGTCGGAGCTCTCGCCACCGAGTCTGCCTGACTATCAGTCCGTAAGCTCACTCTGCCCGACCTCCTTCTCGCACGTGACCCGCGTGACCTCGACGATCTTCTCCGCGAACTCCACCCGCGTGACCTCGACGATCTCCTCGACGCCCCAAGAGAGACCCAAGAGCCCGGAGAGGCCAAAATCATTAATCATGCAAAAAAGTTGTTCACTGTGTTTGGGGTCCTCCACGTTTCTAGATTCCGACACTCGAAGACGGTCAAGGAGGGCCCGAATACGGCCAAAGAGGACCCCAAGATGGCCCCAGAGGTGCCCGAGACGACTCAAGAGGGCCCAAAGGGGCCCAAGAGGGGGAACACGAACTGAATCCGAGCCTTCCGCCTCTAGGTCCCCCTCACGCCCCAAGAGGCCCCAAGAGGCCTCCAAGAGGAGCCTACTAGCCTCCAAGAAGCACAAGGGAAACCCCAAGAGGCCCCCAAACAGCTCCTCTGAGATCTCAAAACTGCCTCCAGGCCCCCGCGAGGCCTCGACGAGATCCCAGCGACCATCCAAGAGGCCTCAGACCCGCAATTCAGGCGCGGTGGCGAGAGGAGAAGAAGGCCATTCTGACTGTAACACCCCGCAGTTGCGGATAAGAATGAGGGGGCGGCGGGGTCGTCGGCAGCCTGCGAGGCTCTGAACAGGCCCGCGGCAAGTGCCGATTTTGCAACAATTTACGCAACGCGCAGACGGCACATACCCGCGAAACGTCTAGAATTTCGCTCGACCCTTTCTTGTGGTGCGGGCGCATTCACTTGCGAGGTGCCTTCCGCCGGGCGTCCCATCCTTCCCGCACTCCGTGAAGGAGGTGGGTATATGTCTGTCCCGCAGGTGGGGCTCGTATTACCAGTGCGCACGCCGACCAGTAACCAAGTCATCCATGGCTCCCACCAACAAAGCTAGCTGCACAGGGGGGCCATGCCAATGAATGGCTGCAGCTCGGATCCGACAGAACGCCACAGCACAACAGGTCGAACATCGTTGCTTGTCGCCCAGCTTCTCAAATTGCCACGCCGTGCACGAGCTCTCCCCAGTGCCGCCGTGATTCTCTCAGTGGTCGGTAGGCATTTCTGTTCCCGCCAAACCCTCCACCGACGCCCTCTGGGCCGCCCTCCCTGCCTCCTCATCCGCCATGGAATTGCCTCGAATCAGACATGAGTCGAGTGGCTCCGAAACACGGATGGTGGGGGCCGCGTGATGTTTTCCATGAGGCACAATCCTCTGCGCATGGTGGCGCCCACGTTTGACAATCGCGCTGCCCACTTTCATTCCTTGTCGTCCTCTCCCTCACGTTTGGCCGTCGATGCTGCACAAGCCGCGCTTCAATGGAAACCTCACCCACGTGGTGAGGAACCCACCGCGACCGCGGCTCCAAGCCTTGGCCAAGGGCTCATGACCCGTGAGGAACATCAGCCCCAGTGGCACATCTCCTTAACCCAACGAAGCGGTAACCAGTTCGGATTGAGGGGCAGCTTGTCTTTGCCCCCCTGTATGGGGGTCTTGGGTAATCGTTTGGAAGTTGGCGGTTCCCGCGGTCGGCTGGCTGACTCCTTCCGCCCCGAACGCGGTGCAGCGCGCGACTGGGAACAGGCAGTGGCCGCTTGGGCCGGCTGCTGAAACCTGTTCGCGATAGCCTACTACTGATGCTCCCTCCTCGTGCCACGTCCGCTGCAATGGGGTTCTCGCTCGCTCGCTCGCCCCGAGAAGGGTTGAGGGCCCTCCCACAAGAGGCCAACCCCAGCAATCGTCGGGCCTCGTGGTGGCGATGGCCGCGCCACACTTGCGGCGACGCGGGCGCGCGCCGTGGGCCCCGCCCGGCCCGTCGCCGAAAACCACAGCGCGCCCGTGCACGGGGTGGGGTGGGGGGGACGGCAGGCGCGACCGGGGAGGAAGGAATGGACGAGGACGAAGAGGAGGAGGAGGAGGAGGAGAGGAGGAGGAGGAGGAGGAGGAGGAGGAGGAGGAGGAGGGGGAGGAGGAGGAGGAGGAGGAGGAGGAGGAGGAGGAGGAGGAGGAGGAGGAGGAGGAGGAGGTAGGGAGGAGGGGAGGGAGGAGGGAGAGGGAGGAGGGAGGGAGTGAGGGAGGGAGGAGGAGGAGGAGGAGGAGGAGGAGGAGGAGGAGGAGGAGGAGGAGGAGGAGGAGGAGGAGGAGGAGGGGGAGGACGAGGAGGAGGAGGAGGAGGAGGAGGAGGAGGAGGAAGAGAGAGGAGGAATACGAATGGTAGTTAAGGTTCAAGAAGGCCGCTTGGCATCGGCCACTAACCTGCCCCGCTGCACGCTGATCAAGCGTGGCTTTTCGCAACGAATCCCACCAGCCCTCTAGGCGTAGGTGGTTCCGGGAGTCTCCTCTTCCAACCCCCTTTCATCCCCTTCGGGGAGGGGGCCCCCTCCCCTGGACGTGGACGGGGGGGGGCCGCTGGTAGTTACAGCGTTCAAAACGGCCTCGGCGAGGAAGCCAAACTCATCGGTTTTACATGGGTTTTGGCCGATTTTGGAGGCTCCCGAGGGGGGAGGCTAATTGAGGGACCCCCTTCCTTTGATCGATCACCTCCAAGATGGCCCCAAGAGCGCTCCCAAGGCTCCCAACAGCGCCCCAAGAGGCGCCCAGGAGGCCCCAAGAGGCGACCAGGAGGCCCCAAGAGGCCTCCAAGAGTCCCCCAAAATACCCCCAAGAGGCCCCCAAGAGGCCCCAAAAGGCTCCCACGAGGCACCCACAACGGTCCAAGAAACCCCCGGGACCGCCAAGAGGTCCCCAAGACGCCCCAAGAGACTTCAAAGAGTATCCCAAGAGACATCTCAAGAGACTCCGCGAGGCATTCAAGAGGCCTTCGACTCTTCTGATCGCCCTTATCCTCCTCCTCCTCCCCCTCATCATCACCATCATCATCATCACCATCACCATCGCCATCGTCAGGACCACCACCGCCATCATCGTCATCATCAGCATCATCAATATCAACATCAACATCATCATCCGCCTATTCCTCCTCCTCCTCATTCCTCCCTCCCCACCCTCATCATCCTCCTCTTCCGCCTCCGACTCCTCCTCCATCCCCGCCCCCCTTGGGGTACGACGGCCTCCCCAGCCCCTTGTTCCCCTGTATGCTGCCCCGCTTCCATGATCACCTCTACTCGCCTGGGCGTCGTTTCTGGATGGGCTGGCGGGGATACTTTTTTGATCTGCGGCTCCAAAGACGACTCCAAAGAGTGGGTCAATCTCGACAGGGGCGCCAAGCGAGACGATTGGCAACGAAGGCACATAGGCCAATGCCGCAATGCACATGCGAAGGACAAAATGAACCTCATTAGAGCCGCCCCAGGAACGGAAGACGGCAGCAGACTGGAAAAGCCGGCGGAGGGTCGCACTGTGGCGCCAGCCCCCGCAAACCAAGCCTGCGGATGGCGGGAACAATGTGCGGGCAGCACAGAGCCCCAGGAGAGGCACCGCCAAACGCGGCGAGGAGGAGCAGAAGGGGGGACAGGTGCGGGCGGCGACGAGGGGAGGGGGGGGGAAGGAAACAAGGCCTCACTCACAGAACACCTCACGTGCTCGAAGCCAGGTGCGTCCACGAATGCTGGGCGTCGGCAGCGTAGTCGTCAGAGTCCCAGCTTACACCTTCCTTGCCACGGTGGATGGGGGGAACGCTGCGAAGTACCACGTCTGAACCACCCGGCGGGAGACCTGCGGACCTGCCCGTGGGAGAACCGGTGGGCTGTCGTGAACCAAGTGTGCTGTTCACCGTGGAAAAGGATGTTGGCGTGATGCGTACGCAGGCGACAAGTCCGACCGGAGGAAGGGGGCGATGTCGCAAGCGAAGCCGGGGGCCGGGGGGAAGGGCCAGCCAGGTGAGGGCTCAGACCTGCCAAAGGATGGACCACTTGTACAGGAACCCAGTCACCTCAGGCCCACCCGCCGCGGCCAGCGGGTGATCGCATCCCGCCGCTGGGATAGGTGTGACCATCTCGGAGCGTGCACGTGTGCGTTGCCACGATGGGGGGAAGCCGAATGGCGTGGTACACCACCTCGGCGCGCGTGGAAGAGGGGGGAGGCGCAGCCGACAGCCGCAGATCTGGTAAATGATGGAACAGGGGAGAGGGGCAAAGCCGGTGGGCCAGGTGGCGGCAGTGGCCGCAAGAGGACCCAACACAGTGTTGCAAGTGTGGTGCCCATGGGGGGGAAATCCCCGACATGTGGGGGGGGAACGACTCCACCTGACCGGGGTCACCGTAGGTAGTGGTGTGGAAGAGCGAGGTACGACTGGTGATGCACCTGGGGTGGGCTTTTGGCCTGCAGTCCCAGTCATCCAAAGTGAGTGCCCAATCGAACAAAGACGGGCCATTGTCCGGTGAGAACAAGGCCAAAGGGAACCGTGGGAGTGGATTATTTCAGCCGGCCCCTCACGGACTATGAAGCCCACGAACAAGCGTGGGAGTCTAAACGCAGTGTGGTGGTATATGTGCACCTCAGCCCCAAGAGGAACTGGTGGGGACACGCGAAGCGTCAAGAATCTCTTCACTACGAAATCGCTTCTGAAGCTCATCTGGCAAATGTCTCGCATTGGTCACTGAGTTCGTTGTGGGGCAATTGCTGCGGGGCTGCCCCCCCCCCCCCGCAACCGGCAGCTCCAGCTCTCGTCGCGGTCGAGGAGAAGGGAAAAAGAGCAGAGGAGGGGGAGGAGGAGGAAGAGGAGAAGGAGGAGGAGGAGGAGGAGGAGGAGGATGAGGAGGAGGAGAAGGCGGAGGAGGAGGAGGAGGAGGAGGAGGAAAGGGAGGAGGAGGAGGAGGAGGAGGAGGAGGAAGAGGAGGACGAGGACAAGGACGAGAAGGAGGAGGAGGAGGAAGAGGAGGAGAGGGAAGGGGGGGGGCGGGACCCAGCCAAGATGGGGCGCCATGCAGCCAATTCTACGGGAGCGGGGCCCCCTGGCTCGTGCTCTCGCCGCGCCCCAGCCCCGATCACGTGGGGCCCCCGACCCAGGGCGCTTGCCAAAGCGAACCCCAGAGAGGCGAGCGCGCGGCAAAGGGCGGGCCCGCTGGGGCCCGCCTCGGCTACTCCAGATTTCGTAATAAAGGGAGGGGGGTCTCATTTCGGGGGGGGGTCTCTTCCAGGCTATCTTGGAGGGCCTGGGGGGGTCTGGGGACGATGTTTTGGAGGGTTCTCCCACGGGGGGGTCTGAAATGGCTTGTCTTGGAGGGTCCAGACCCCCTCCCTTTTATTACGAAATCTGGAGTAGGCCCTCGGAGCACGTCCTCTTCTGGATGGCCGCGGGGGGCCCCGAAGTGCCCGGCCCAACACTTCTCCACCGGGTCTGCAGGGGGCGAGGGCACCAAGCACGCCTCTCCCCTTCGCAGGGTGGCGCTGAACAGACACCACATCACCACAGTGCGTGGGAGCACTGGCGATCGAGACAAGCGGGCACATACATCTGAAAGGCCGCGCCCTGTTGTTTCCAGAGGCGCCGCCCGAGCACCGCGTGAAGTGCAGCAGTGTGCTCGCCGCGGGCTGACCGGCCCTCCTGGCCTCGTCAGTCGGCTGGGTGGGCGCCGCGAGGGCGGGGTGGCCGCTGGCGCGCCGTGGCGGGGGCCCCGCCCCTGAGCCTTGGGCCCGCGACCGCGCAGCAACCCCTGCGCTCGCCGAGGCCAAGCGGCAACGCGCCGCCCTGCCCCGGGGCCCTGGAACAGAACTGCAAACCGCGACTGCTCTTGCCGTGCAAAATCTAATTGTGGTTTGGGCACAGCTGACATCTGGACACGTGTAGAACTAACATCGTGCTTGCGAACAACAAGGGTTTTACAAACGGAGCTCCAGCCGATTCAATATTAGAAACACGATCTAATTTTGGAACCAAATAGGGCCCCGTTCCGCCCTCTGGGGGTCGGCTGTGGCGGCGGCCGGAGGACCCCCTCCGCCGGCCTGCCGCTGGGCTCGGCCTCCTCCTCCAGGGAGCCGCCGCGGCCGCCTCTCTTCAGCGCCAGGGTCCTCGGTCGGCTCGGCCGGTGCCGCGGGCGGTGTGCAAAGCTGGGCGGCCTTCTCGAGTGCGCTGGGCTGAAGGAGAGGGGAGGGAGGGAGGGAGGGAGGGAGGGAGGGAGGGAGGGAGGGAGGGAGGGAGGGGGATGGGAGGAGGGAGGAGGAGGGCAAGAGGACCAGGACGAACTGCGGCGGCGGCGGCGGCGACAGGCGCATGGGCGGGAGGGGTGCCTGCAACTGCGGCAGTAGAGCCGCCGCCACCGCTTGGGCGAGGGCCTCGGGGGCATCGTCCTCTCGCGCAGGCAATGATGCGGGTGCGGGGCGGGGGGGGGGTGGACAAGGCTCCTGGGCATTCCCTAGGGGTCAGCTCCCTCCTCATCCTCGTCCTCGTCTTCGTCGTCGTCGTCCTCCTCCTCCATACATTTTCCTTGTGTAACTCTTCCCCGTCGCACCTTTCGACGTGTCGGCAGGGCGGGTTGGGCGCTTCGCCTGAGACTACCTTACCATTTCTGATCCGGAAGCGTCAGTGTTGCAGCAATTTCACACATGGAAGGCGGGTCGTTTTGAAAATGTTGCTCTCCCCGTCGTGCCGCGCACATCCGTTTAGAAGTTTGCAGCAGTTTGATGATGGAGGACACGTCCTTTCAAGCTGTGGCTCGCGCTTCAGCGCCGCGTGCACTCGTCTCAACAATCGCAGCGTTTTTCAAGATGGAAGGCGGGCCGTTTTCAAAATGTATCACTCGCCTTAGCGCCGCGCACAGCCGCCTTAACCGTTTGCAACAATGTCAGGGTTTAGTACGCTTGAAATCTCAGGAATGGTTTTCGCTACGCTTTAAGGCTATCAGGTGTCAAGACGCAAGTGTGCCATGATTCGCGGCGTAGAATTCCCAGGAATGGTTTCTGGTGCGATAGAGGATTCTCAAACGGCTGTGTCCAAGTGGGCCCCGAATTGTGAAACATGTTGTTTGAATACATGGAGCTCAAGCTTGGAGGGAGGGTTTACTGCAACATCGTTGACACGTCTTGAATTTACACTGGTTCTTCTCCTCCTCCTCCTCCTCCTCCTCCCTCCTTCTCCTGGGCGGTGGAACCGTTGACCAAATAATCCACACGACGAGGGATCCTTGGTAGAATACGGCCAGGGAAAGATATCCAGGAAACCCGCCTTCTAATGGCGGTGGGGTGGTGTGGGGGGGGGAATGGGAACGCTCCTGGGCGTTCCCTGGGCAGGTGTCGATGCTCCTCCTCATCCTCCTCCTCCTCCTCCTCCTTCGTCCCTTTCCTTCTAATTACCTCCTTCCTGTCGCACCCCGAGACGGGTCGGCAAAATTGGCTGGGCGTGTCGCCTGAGACTTCCTCATAATGTGTGATCCGTGAGCTTCGAATTTACAGCAGCTTCACAGATGGAGGGCGGCCCGCTTTCAACATGTGGCTCTTGTTTCAGCGCAGCGTGCATTCGTATTCAAAGTTTGCACGACTTCCACGGATGGAGGCGTGGTTTCAAAATATGGCTCTCGCCCTAACGCCGCGCACACTCGTCTGAGAGGTTTGTAAGAGTTCCACTAGTGGAGGGCGACTCCTCTTCAACATGCGATTTTCTCCTTCGCGTCGCGCACATTCGTCCTAGAAGCTTGCAAAGAATTTCACGGATTGATGGCGGCTCTTTTCAAACTGTAGCTCTCGCCTTACCGCCGCGCCCATTCGTGTCAAGTGCTTGAACCGGTTCAAGGATTGTGATGGTGAGAATCCCCAACACGGTGCTCAAGAGCTCAAGAGTAACAATGGTTCGCGGTGTTGAAATCCCAGGAACGGTGTCCTGGTACGGCTCAGGATGGTCAGGACGCAACGGTAACGTTGACTCTCGGCGCTGCAGTCCCAGAACATGTGTTTTGTCACGGTTCAGGGGTTGCAGACTATTGTCTTCCAACGGGTTGCTTCCGGAAGTGAAAGTAAATCTTTGTGTGGGGCCTATGACGAGGGAACTTAGAGGGTTTATTGCATCATCGTTGGTGGGTCCTGGGTTTGCACTTGCCCTCCTCCTCCTCCTACTCTCCACCCGCCAGCGTTCTTCCTGGAGCAGAAGGGATGGGAGGGGTAGGAAGACGAAGCAGAGACGGAAGAGCAGGGGGAACGGACCAAGGATGAAGAAGGTGTACAGGAAGAGGCAGATGCTGAGAGAGCCATCGGAAGGTGGAGGAGGAGGAGGAGGAAGCGGAGGAGGGCTGGGGCGAGGTGGGGGGCGGGGCCGCCTGGCCTGCCAGAGGCCTGGGAGCGGGACCGAAACGAAGAGCTCTCGTGGCGCCGTGCGCGAGTCAGCCCCGAGGCAGACGCCGAGAGGTCGACCCTCGGGCCGAGCGGAGTGCGGCAGGCTTCGGAGGGAACGAGAGGATGGTCGGAAGAGAGGGGATGATTCAGGATGGTGAAAGAAGAGGGGGAAGGTGGTCGAGCAGGAAGGCGGAGGAGGAGGAAGAGAAGTGGCGCGCCGCCGCGGAGAGCCGGGTCGGTGGCCGACGGCGAGGGGGAGAGGAAGGAAGAGGGGGGAGGGAGACTAAACGCACCCCCAGACGGGGGGAGGAGGGGACAGAGAGGAGGAGGAGGAGGAGGAGGAGGAGGAGGAGGAGGAGGAGGAGGAGGAGGAGGAGGAGGAGGAGGAGGAGGAGGAGGGGGATGGAGGAGGAGGAGGAGGGGGAGGAGGAGGCAGAGGGGGAGGGGGCAAGCTAGGTGCGCTCGCGTCATATCTGACGTCCTACCCCTCCCTCCCATCCCTTACCATGGCGCTGATTTTCTCTATCCGCGGACGCGTGTCGTAGCGGACCTGTGGCTCCGCGCGCGCGTGCGCAGTGGGTGGTGGTGCGCGTGCGTGCGTGCGTGCGTGTGCGCGTGGTTGTGGTGGTGGTGGTGGTGGTGGTGGTGGTGGGTGGTGGTGGGGTGGTGGTGGTGGTGGTGGTGGTGCTGGTGGTGGTGGTTGTGGTGGTGGTGGTGGTGGTGGTGCTGCGCGGTGGTGGCGGGCGGATGGGCGCGCGAGAAAGAGGCCCGCGCTGGGGCGAGAACGCCATCCTGAACGACGGAGGCCAAACACCGATCCGAAAATGAGGCCCACGCTGCAGCGGGAGCACGATTCGGAACGACTCGGGAGCAGAAATGAGGCCGGCGCCTCAGCGAGAGCAACATTTTGAAAAAAACGCCAGCGAAAACCCAACTCCCGGGAATCCTGTGTGTAAAAAAACAGTACGCGGGGGGGGGGGTCGGCCACTCCCAGCACGCCATCAGGGAAAGAGGGAGAGTAGTATTCATATCGAGTAATTGTAGAAGGCAGGAGGAGGAGGAGGAGGAGGAGGAGGAGGCAGAGGGGGAGGAGGAGGAGGAGCGCTGGGACCTCCCACGCGGGGTCCTCCCGCGCGCTCTGGCGGGCGCCCACGGCGGACTCGGCCGAGAGGCTGCGGCGTCGGGCCCCGGGCTTGGCCCTAGCGTCCTGGTGCGCCAGGGGTTCCCACAACACCTACGCTGGAGGCCTGGAAATCGGCACCAACACCAGCACAGGGGGTCGCCTCCACATGGGGAAGACGATCCTAGGGTTCGGTGTTGGTGGTAATACTTAGATCACCTTGGACGCATGGCTTTCTTGCCTTGCCTTGCCTTGGTAGCCAGAATATTGCCACCACCACCACCACCACCACCGAGATCGGGATCGTCTTCCCTCGGTGGAGGCACACCGCCGATCTTGGTGTTGGTGTCAACCTCTAGGCCTGCGACTAATCGCACCACCACGCCATCAGAGCATCGAAGACATGAACATAACATTTCGGAGTCGAAGTTGAGCGCAGACTTCTCGGATCCCCATTGGGCCCCACCGGCGGCGCCTCTGGCGCCGCTCCTTGCGCGCTACGTGCGCCAAGGAAGGGGGGCATATGGCCGATGCAAGACATCCGCGCGGACCTCCGAACATTCACATTGTAGACGCTTCGCGTAACCCCACCAGCTTTTTCGTGCGCTGCTGTCCCAGCCTCGTTCTAACCGCCCTCTGGACTTTTCCTTGCGGGCCGCGAATCAAAAAAAAAAAAGTAACCCCACCAGCCCATCCAGCAACGATGCCCAGACAAGTTGCCCTGGTCAGGGATGTGACAGAGCATGTCGTTGAATCAATGGCTGGGTAGGACGTCGCATCCTAAGAAGGGGAGGATGGAAGAGTGATCGGAGGAGCTGGAGGAGGAGGAGGGGAGGAGGCAGAGGGGGAGGGGGAGAAGGCAGGAGGAGGAGGAGCCACAGGATGAGGAAGGTTGCGGAGGAGGAGGAGGAGGAGGAGGAGGAGGGCGAGCAGAAAGGTCAGAGGCCTCATGATGCCTCTCGGAATCTCTTCGGATGTCTTTAGAGAGCTTCTTGGAATCCTCTTCGGGCGTCTTGAAGGTTTCTTGGCAATTCCGGGGGCCTCTTGGGCCGTCTTGTGTGCCTCTCGGGGGTCTCTTGGGGGCCTTCTGGAGGCAACATCAGGGTGCCCCCCCTTCCCCAAGAATGCAAAACTGTGGCCAACACCGTAATGACATCAGTGATTTTGGCTTGGCCCCCCTCCCCAGGATGCCAAGATGTGGCAAAAACCTTCAGGCCAGCAAGGATTTGGGCCTTCTCGCCGAGGCCATCTTGGACGCTAACAGCGACCCGCAGAACGCCCCCGCCCAGGGCCAGGGGGGGGGGTGGGGCGAACCCCTCCCCGAAGGGGGGTGGAAGAGGACCCCCCCCCCCCAAACCACTCGAGCCCTGAAGGGCCGGCGGGACTCGTGCTGCGGGGCTGGACCTAAGCGGTGTTCTTCGTCCTCGTTTCGTGTTCGTCTTCGCTGGCGTTTGCCTCGAATCCGCCTTTACCGCAGAACGAAGTCGAAACGAAAACGGCACACGGAATCACCAAAAACACCGCTTTGGTCCAGCCCTGTCGTGCGGTTCCTTCTTGTGACCAGGTGCAGCAACACCGCGAGGAAGCCGCCCTCCTCCTCCTCCAACTCCTCCTCCTCCTCCTCCTCTTCCTCCTCCTCCTCCTCCTCTTCCTCCTCCTCCTCCGCACCATCACCACCACCATCATCACCATCCTCATCACCACCACCACCATCGCCACCATGAGGGCCACGGCCAGGCCCACCCCGGGCCCCGGCGCGGAGCATGCGCCTGCCTGGCGTCGTGGGCCCGTGCGCCCGCGCCGGGCCCCAGGAAGGCTCTGGCCAGAGGCGTGGCGGCCACGTCGCACGGCACCTTCGGGCGCTGTCGCTCCCACCGTACTTCTTAAGGATCATATCCCAGAAATCAGTTCGAGCACCCAGAAAGACATCAAAACTGTGTCCAACGAGGATCGTCTCCCAGGGACCGACACGTGAAAACCCGCCAGTTTCGGTACTTTCCTGGTGCTCGAAATTCTTTCTTGCGGTCAAGGTTAAAGTAGGTTGGAACATCATACTCTTCGGGAGACTTTCTCCGTCCTACCGCGCTGTTGTCCGCGTCGAGCCCACATTGAACGTCGGCTCCGCGTCGAATCTACGTCGAACTCGTGTCGAATCGGTGCCCAATCCGCTCAGAATCCCGTCGGATCAAAGAATCCACAGGACCGATCCGAAGCCAGACTGTATACAGATCCACCTCCTGAGGAACCGATCTCCCAGGGCTCCAAGAGTCGATATGGATACCCGTGGCCCGAATATCCGCCACCGTGCCTCTGGTACGAAGTAGGGTGCCCCAAGGCTCATGCAAAACTGAGAAAGATGTGCTGCTACTGCAGCCAGGTGTTTCCCAACAGTGAATATTTCAAGGCCTGGGCCAATCGTTTCCTGTGCCGGCCCGGGGTCTGCTGGAATCTCTCGCGTCGGCCTACCACGCTCAGGAGGGCCCCCAAACGACCCCAGACGACTCCAAGAGGCACCCAAAATAGTCAAAGGGGACCACAAGTCGCCCAAAGATCGCTACAAGACGCGCAGGATGGCCTCAAGATGGCCCAAGAGGCCTCCAAGACGCCACAAGAGGCCTCCCAAAGGGCCCAAAGAGGCACAAATCATTGATTTTCCATCGGTTGTCCAAGGATGTTGGTGTTATCGCCTTTTCGGTTTTCCGGCGCTCCAAGACGGCCCACCAGGACCACCCCAAGAGGCCTTCAAAGGGGCCCCAAGACTGCTCAAAACGGCCCATGAGGGCCCCAAAAGGGGCCGAAGAGAGGAAACACCAATCGAAAATCCGAGCCTTCCGCCCGAAGAGGGCCCCAGGAGGCCCCAAGAGGCGCCCAAGAGGCCCCTAAGAGACCCCCAAGAGGCCCCAAGGGACCCCAAGAGGCCCAAGAGGCCCCAATAGGCCCGAAACGGTCCCCAAGAGGCTTCAAAACTGCCCCCAAGAGGACCCGGGAGGCCCCCCACGAGACCCCAAAGAACATCCGATCGGCTTTATATCCACAGCCAGGCACGGTGGCGGGATGGGCCGAAGGCCTGTCGTATCCGTGTGAACCGCCTCCTGGGGTCCTGCGATGTCGTTTCCCCAGGCGGCGGATGCGCGCGCGTGCGTATGTGTGTAAGCCAACCAGAATAGCAAGGATGCGCGATAAGGATGCAAGGGCCCTGGACGCCCATTTCCAAGTTTCTCGAACAGGGCGCGGCCAACAGAAGTTGCCGAGGATGGACCGAGCAGGCAAGGATGCAAGGGTACCCTTGGGAAGGTTGCCCATCCTTACTATGCGGGTTGACTGTATATGTGTGTGCATGCGTCTGCACGGCGTTCTGCGGTGTTCGTTGCTCGCCCAGCGGCGGCGCCTGTCTTGCCTGCGCCTGCCTCGCGCCGCCGCTTGCCGGGTGGCCCTGCAGCCTGACAGTGCGCTGTCTATCAGCTACCAGCACCAGACTGCTGCAGTGCTGCAACTCCCGGCGTCGAGCTACGCTCCGCCGGATGCTTGGCCGCTGCAGCTTGGCTTTAGGGCGCCTCATCTTTTCACCACCATCACCAGTCTGCATGGCCGTGGCTAGATTATTTCATCACGGCGCGTTCGACTAAGTTCGTTCGCAATTGGCACTTCCACCTGCCGACCGCGCCTGAGGTTCCTCTGCGCCGTTGGCTTAAAAAGTGTGTGTGTGTGTGCATCTAAAATATGGCGTCGCACCCAAATCCATAACACAAGCGGCTGTGTAAGATGTAAGGTGACGATCAAGAAGGAAACAGGGGAACGAATAGTCAACTGCCGCGGGGATCTTCAGTTGGAGAGGGGCAATCCGATAATCTCAACGAAGACGCCCACGAGCAGGCCTGGAACCCAAGTCATCGATCATCGCCCACAGCGCTGCATGACGCCCCCCTCCCCCCCCTGCGGGCCTCCCTTGACCGTCATCCCACACCCTGGGCGAGCGTTGCTAGAAGTGGTCCTGGCCAGAGCTGTCCCTGGCTTTTCTCGCCCCCTTCCAGCGCCTCTTCAGGGCCCGCCTCGCGAGGAGTGCTCTCTGGAAGCCACCTGAGCCTTCTTGGGGAAGCTGGGACCACCTCGGGCCAGGGCCGCATTTGGCAATACCCGAGCTGTCGGAGCGTGGCGAATTGAGACAATAGCAGCTCAAAATCGCCCCCCCCCCCGGGACCCAAAGCCGGGCGAAAACGCCTGATACCCCGAACTTCGTGACCGTCATCCCGCACTGGCAGCCCCCATTCGGGGATCCACTGACCCGGATCAAACCAGACCGGGTCAGCCGGGACGTGCAGGATCCTGCAAGATGCCGCAGGCTCCTGCAGGATCCTGCACCCAAACAGGGGTCAGAGGACCCCTGGCACTGCAAGATCCCGAAAGATCCGGCGCTCTGGCTGACCCACGTTTGCACTGACCCCGTCCCCAGACCCCCGACGTCGTGTTTTTTTCGCAGCGTCGACCCCCAGAGGTCTGGACCCCTTCCCTGGGACCCCTGTTTCCCATGCCGAGTCGTTCTTGCTGACGGCCCCCAGGCCTGGCAAAGGGCCCCCCGAGGCAGAACACGGCGAGAAACCTCGCGTCGTGGTCCTTGCGGCGCGAGGCGGTCTGGGTTTCCTGAGCCTCGGGAGCGGCCAAGAGGGGGGTGTCCAAGCGGGGGGGGTGCAAATCATGACCGGCGGCATGTGCGCGGCCCAGTGGGGGGGGGCCAGGGGCGTAGTGAAATAAGAAGGGGCGCCATGAAGTCTGGGGAAATATCATGGCCCGCGCCATGAAATCCCCCCCCCCCCCTAGTCATCACCCCCCTCTTTTCCGCCCCCGAGAGCCCCGCCCCCCTGGCAGATCCTGCTCCACCGGCCGGAGCGCGCTGCGGAACGCGGACGGAGTGGCGGGAGCGGCCGCCGCCCCAGACATCCTCGGGGGGCCCGGCGCCCCAGCGGGCCCGTCGGCGGGCCCCTGGCGGCGCCCTCCGCACCGCTCGAGCCGGGGCGGCCCCGCGCGAGAGCGCAGGAAGGCAGGAGGAGGGCGCACACGCCTCGCACCTCGGGCGGTCCTCGGAGCCCGCAGAGGCGCGAGGAGACCATGCGGGTCGTCTTGGGGGGCTCTGCCTGCGATCCGGGGCCTTCTTGGAGGGTCTGGGGCCTCTGGAGGCGTTCGGGGGCCGTCTCCGGCCCGTCTGGGGCGCATCTTGGGCCGCTCGGGAGGGGCTCCCGAGGCCCATGACGCCCATGGGGTCCCGAGGCAGCTCGCCGGGAGCCTCCTGCCCTATACTGCGGTGTGTGGGTGTGTGGGTGTGCGTGTGTGGGTGTGCGTGTGTGGGTGTGCATCAGCATACTCACCCCTCTGTCGTTGTTTTGCCGCATAGATTGTCCTGCGTATTATGCCCTATTCCTCCTTGCTCTCATCCCCGTTGTTTCGACTTCACTGCTCCTTTTTAAAAAAATCAGTATCTTCATTGTGGTGCTCTCCTTATGATTGGTTTGTCTTACAGTGGGTATTCTTATTTGTTTACGTGTTCCTGAGTATTATTTCTATAGTGATATTATTAGTATCGACCGCATTATTAGTATTACTACGGTTTGGGGGGTGCGGAGGGACCTTTTTTCAGGTTGCTGACTGACACACGCGGCATACTTTGCCAAACCAACACGTTCGCCTGTACAACTGGAGATCCGTGCCGGGGCAACATAGTACAACGCAGAAGAGAAGACATTACATACTGGAGGTTAACGAGATGAAACGCCCAAGAGACGTAATGCAATCACGCGTGATAGTTAAATTGGGACGATATATCATGGCCCAATGCTGATCCACGCTGGGGTCAGTTGTTGCCGCCCAGCGTCTTTTGGCGAGGCAGATGCGTGGAACGTGATGATTCCATACCTCGCCGCCAACCCAAAAATATCGAACCCCAAGGGTGGATAGGATGGCCTGTGCTCCAACGGTACAATACATTCATACTTGCACGACGGTGTCCGGTTGAATCGCGCGCCATTCTTCCCAAGAGTACGCCCTCAAGATTATGCCGCGCTCTTTGATTACTACTCCTTCTTCCACACGCACTGAAAAAAACCTGGTGTGTGAGGCCCTCAGAACTGATTATCCCCGTGCTTTGCCGCAGCACAGACCAATCTCGCGGACATTACCAATATTGAATGGGCTTTCGAAGCCTAAATGAGACGCCGAGCGTCGCCGACTGTCAAATAGCCGAGGACGGGAGCTGCCGAAGCGTCGCCCGCCGGGTCCGGCCAATCAGGAGCGTCATCCGATGCCAAAGTGTCCCTGGAAAAATCACTGTCGTCCGAATACTCTTCCGTGCAGTCCGATGGCTCGGAGCTGATGTCATCTAGAAAGTCCAAATAACGTGCATC